CCCCGCTCCCTCTTCCCCTGCTCCCCAGCCGCGGGGCTGGCCCAGGTGACTTCCCGGCTCCGGCCGCATCCCTGCTCTGTTTGTACACGCGCGTGTCAGCACACATTGGCCAACAGGCAGGGTAAACAGCGCGCTGTGCTCCAGCGCCCGGGCCTCTCGCCAGCCACCGCCTCCACCCCGCGCTCCCAAGCCCGGCAGCAGCTGCCTGGGTCAGCGCCTGCAGAGGAGGCTGCCGGGGGCCCTGCTGCGTGGGGGGCACGGAGGAGGCGCAGAGCGAGCGCTCCCTCTGCCTGCGGAGACCCCCACGGCCCTGGCTTGGGGCTGACCTGCGCCTGCATCCCCCTGGCAGCGCCATTGGTCCACCACGCGGCAGGGAGAGGCAGCCCACGTGCTCCCGGGCGTGTCTAACCACTGCTCCTTCTGCCCCCAGGTCGTGGTGCCCAGGTCTGTCCCTGCCATCTGGCTGCTGCCGTCTTTGCCGCTGGGCCCGGCTGCCGTCCAGACGTGAGCCCCATGATCCCTTGGACCGCGTGGAGGCCGGCCGGGCAGAGCAGGCGCCTGGGCACACAGCGGCTGTGAGCAGACGCGCCGTCGCTGGACCCCCTGCTCCCAGCGCACGGCCACTCCGGCGCGCTCATGGATCTGTGGCCCCGCTTGCTGCTCCTGCTCTGGACACTGGTGACGGCCCTGGCACTGCTGGCCCAGGAGGTGCTCATGCAGCGCGTCTACACCAACACCTGGGCAGTGCAGGTGCCGGCAGGGCCGCGAGAGGCTGACAGGCTGGCCAGGAAGCATGGATTCCTCAACCTGGGGCCGGTGAGTCTCCTCCCAGCCCGCCTGGGGCCCTGCCTTCTCCCCGCACAGCCTGGGCGCTCTGCTGCCTCTGCCCGGCCCCGGGGCCCTTGCGGGAGCTGCTGTCCCTGCCGGCAAGGCCGGGCATGTCTGCCGAGGCCAGGGTTGGGCACCTGGGTCACCCGTTCTGCGCCCCCGCCACGTGTGCTATTGACTTGTGGCCTGACGGGCATGGGGTGAGCGGGGCCTGTGCCCTGTCACCCAGGGTCCTGGCAGGGGCTGTCTGCCCCAGGGGACCAGGTGGCTTGGGGGTGGGGGTGCACGGGTCCAGTCTGCCCTGGGCAGGGGTCTCTGGCGGGGGAAGCCTGTGTGGGAGCGATGAGGGAGCAGTGTCTGGGGCCTGGCTCTGGTGCTGCCTCCCGCGGTGGGCACGCACAGCTCGCCCGGAGGGGCGGGGGCCGCACGGCGGGTGCTGAGCCCAGAGCGCAGAGCCTGCTGGTCCCGCCCAGAGCAGGCTTGTTGACAGCGGTCGTGTCCTTCGCCCCAGCTCTGTCCTTTGAACGGCCTGTGTCAGCATCACCCCCACAGTTCTGCTTTCCAGTGTCAGCGCGCAGCACGGGGCCAAGCCGGGCAAGTGCCCCATGTAGTGGCTCCTCATTGGCTGTGCCATGGGATCGCCGCCCTGGGAGCGTCACGGTGCCCGCTATCTCCCGGCTATCTCTGCAGCGTTGGCTTCAGCCCAGGGGCCTCGTGCTGGTGGCAGGGCTCAGCTCTCAGGCCCTGCACTTGCTGGCAGGGCGCCCGGGGTGCTGGTGGCACTGATAACGGAGGTGTTTGCAACCCTGTGGCAGAGGCTTGGCAAGGCTGGCAGTAGGTGGGCTCCCTGCTGCCTGCGGGCCGTGATGGGGCAGACCTGGCCCCTGGCGGTTTCCTCGCCCTCCCTGCACCAGCTTGGCTTGGGCGTCATGGGAAAGTGCTGTGGTTTCCGGGGCCCAGCTCCATGCAGCTGGTGGAGCATGAAATGCTGTCAGGACCTTGTCTCTGACCAGCCTCAGGGCGCTGGCAGCTGTGAGGGGCCCACCTGGTGCCACACAGGCCTCGTGGGGCAGCCACGTGGTCACTGCTGCTGGAGCCTCACCTCTCCTCGGCCAGCCCTGTCCCGGGCTTCAGCCTGCTCACCCCACAGGGCCAAGGCTGGGGAAGCCCTTGGGCCCAGTCCCTCCTTGCAGGGGGAGCCAGGTTTATGGGGCCACTGGTGCCCCACAGAGACTGGCCACGGGGCCCAGCTGTCCTTTTCCCAGGGCCACGGGGAATCTGCCTCTGGCAGCTCCACGCAGCTCTCTCTCCTACTGCAGTGGTGCCACAGGGCCGGGAGGCACCAGCCGTGGCAGCTCGCAGAGGGCGGGGGAGGCAGAAACCGTCTCAGTGGGACGGGGCAGCTCTGGGGCTGTGCTGGCAAAAAGAAAGGCCCCTCCTGCCTTCCTCGGGCTTTGGGGGTGGAGGAGGCAGGTTTGCCACCTCGGGGGAGCCCCTCCGGTCTGACTGCTCAGCTGTTGCACCCCCTGCCCGGACCCGGACCCGGACCCGGACCCCGCCGTGGCAGGCGGGGGGGGGAGGCGGCGATGGGGAGGTCTGCAGTGCAGGGCGAGCGCCCCCAGCCGACACGGCTCCCACGGCCTGCACGAGCTCCTTAGGCGCTGCGTCGCGCTGGCTCGGCTGGGCAGGAAGGAAGCGGATGAGTGAAATCCCTCAGGAAGTTGCACAATCGGTGACGCGGTGCCAAGTGTCGGCAGCTGGAGCAGGCGGGGGGGGGGGGGGGGGGGGGGCGACGGGCCTGCGCCCACCTGGGGCAGCGCAGGCCCAGGGGCTCCCTCTCCCTGGGAGGGCAGCGGGGGCTGGCTGCGTGAGGGCACCAGGAAGAGGCTGGTGCGGTGGGGCCTGGCCTCGGCCCACGGCAGCTCAGTCCCCTGGTTGGCACGAGCGCTGCTCTGCGTCCGCGCCCTGTCCCCTGACGGCCCTGGGTTGTGCGGGCGAGGGTCAGGCTTGGAGGAGAGAGCTGCACCCACGGCAGTGCGGCTGGCATCCCTCCGCCTCGCCTGCCGCGTTGGGGCCCAGTGGGTGGGGAAGGCCTGGGCAGACCTAGGCTGGGGCTGCCCGTGGGAGAGGCGCCAGGCTGGGCATGCTGCCCACGGGGGCCTGGCCACCCCCTCGCATCTGCTGTCCTCTGCCGGGCCCTCCCCGCTGCCTCCTGGGGGGCCGGGGGCCTCCGACACCCCGCGAGTAGGGGTTTGTGTTGGAGTCCCTGGGGGAGTCGGCTTTGCTGCTTCTCCCGCCCGCGCCGGTCCCCGGTGGTGCTGACCCCGCAGGGTGCTTGCTGGGAGCCAGTGCCGTGACTCGGGCCTGCCCAGCCCTGCTCCAGCTTGCAGCTGCTGCTGGGCAGGTGCCATCTTATCTCGGGATCTCTGCTTGGCTGCAGGTCTCCATTAACCCCCTGTTGCCATGGCAGCACATCCCATGATTCCCGCTGCGCTCGCTGGCTGCTCCCCGGAGAGGGGGTGCAGCGACAGGGCCCTGCCCCGGGCCCACGGGCTGGGAGGTGTGGCGGGGGGGGGGCGGGGGGGGGGGCGGGCACGCGCCTGTCGCCGACACCAGCCAGGTCGCTGTGCCCAAACTGGGGCCGTCCCGGGCACTGCGGGGAGACGGGGCAGTCCTGTCTGGTGCCACGGGGCGGTGTGGGGGGATCGCGAGGGTGCTGGCTAGCCCAGCCAGAGCGTCCCCATGGCGCTGGCACCCTAGTCCCATCCAGCGACCAGGCAGAGTCCCTGAGCCGCGTGGAGCAGTCGGGCCCTGTCCCCAGGCCAGGCGGCGCCGGTGCATGCTGCAGCCAGGGCTTGGGGGCCGTGGAGCCTCTCCCTCAGCTGCGCGGGGCTGGTGGGACCTGCCCAGGTCAGCGTGGAGCGGTGGTCCCCATAGGCCTGGGCTGGCCCTTGCGAGCTGCTTGGGGCACGTGGCTCAGGCCTGGGTTGCCAGGAGCCCAGGGCCGTCTGGATCCAGCAGCTGCTGTGCATCCCCACCTGGCACGGGGCGGTGCTGGAGAGCAGCAGCCGGGCCCCATCTCCGCGTGGGCCCCTGGAGATGCCTGGAGAAGGCCCCGTGCCCTCTGCAAGCAGCCGAGACTCGTGTGTGCGCGGGAGCTCTGTGCTCGGCCTCCTCCCCGGTGCTCGCAGGCAGGGAAGCTGCAGCCCAGCACTGGGTGAACCCTGGCCTCGCTGCCCCAGGGCAGCCCTGCAGCCTCCAGGCCTCCCTGGGAGGCCCAGCGGCTGGGGCCGGAGCCCAGGGCTCCTGCACCCTGCGCTGCCCAGCCCAGCCTGGCGTTCAGGAGTGCCTGGGCCCCGCCGGGGGCTGCTGGCTCCCTCAGTGCTTGGGCAGCCCCCGTGCCCGCGGCAGAGCCAGCCCCAGCAAGGAGCACCGTCCCTGCAGCGGGCAGCCCTTTCCCTCCTGCCTCTGGGAGTGGGGGCAGGGCTGTGGAGCCCGGGCAGGTGCAGCCGCCTCTGCTGCAGGATGTGGTGTGGGAAAGGAGGAGGAAATGACAGGCCAGGAGGGTTAAAAATAACTGGCTGGGAAGCCTGTGGGCCAGACCCCGTCTGGCTGGCTGCAGGATCGGCATTTGTCTCGGCCCCACGCCCCGGCTGGAGCTCTGGAGTGGGTGCAGTGTCGGCTAGCCACCCTCCGCTCCCCCCACCCAGGGCCCTGAGGGTGCTGCTGAGGCTGGCATGGGGCTGGGTGCTGGGGAGACCCAGCTGGGACAGGGCTGGGCTTCGCATGCCAGAGCCTGTTCTCTGGGCCATCACCCCTGCCGAGGGCTCGCTCTGGTCCCAGCATGTGCTGGGAGCCCTGGGTGGAGGCGATGCCCATGCAGCTTCTGGTGTCTCCTGCAGCCGGGCTGTGCCACAGCAGCAGGCTGGCACCCGGGCAGGAGCGGGGTCCCAGATGTGGCCAGGAAAGGGCTCCCCACGGGGCCAGACCCGGGGCCTCTGACATTGCTCTGCGGCTCACAGTGGAGCCGGGGCAGCCAGGGCTCTGACACGCTCTTCTCTGTTGCAGATTGTGGGGGACTACTACCACTTCCGGCACCACGCTGTGGTGAAGCGCTCGCTTTTGCCCCACCCGTCCTGGCACAGCCGCCTGGCCAGGGAGCCCCAGGTACGTGTACGGGGTCCCAGCAGCCTTGGCGGGGCAGGCTGCCCCTTGTCCCTCCTGTTGGTGGTAGGCTCTGGGTGCTGGGGCCACCTGTGCCGAGGCCTGAGCCAGGCCCCAGCACCGGGCATGGGCAGAGCACACCCGCTGGCCTCTCCTCTGGGCTGCAGCAGGGAGGAGAGGGGGCTGGGCAGGGGCAG